TCTTCGAGATGTCTCAATGCGCTTCACAGAATATACTCTACAGTGAATTGACTGTATTGCAATACACACACACAATCAATTAAAATGATCTGAGAGGCAGAGTGAGAGTGGAGATGTGAAGTTACGATGAGACAGAATGGTTTACTTGTACTTTGCTGGCAAAATCCAATACAATGAGCGCCTATACTTTTCGCAGCAATTGCCTGTTAAGTGATTTCTGGCGCTTATATCAAATGCAAAGATTATTATCGTTATTGTTTAAGTTGCAGGTAAATTCAACTAATAATAAGAAAGCTGACAACAATAAAATACTTCACATAATACAACAATGAAATAGTAAAATAAAATACTTCACACAATACAACAATGAAATAGTAAAATAAACTACTAATAAATAATATAAACAATAACATAACCGTATAAAACAATGAAGTAACAATGCAATAAATAAAACAACTTAAAAAAGTAATGAAATAATAATGATGACAACCCAAGCGGATTGTAAAATGGATTGACTGTGTATTTTGTGGGAGCCAATTGTGCACAGCAATGTCCCACAAACAGTCGTGGATTGAGGGACCAGATTTTTTTTGGGGGGTGAGATTATTTCCCCCGGAAAACGATCCGCCAATCGATTTACAAACATGATTGAAACTAAGGCTAACGATGATATAAACTGAGCCAAAGACTGATCAAATTATCACCTGCAATGACATAAACTACTACTCATAATTTATAATAATCTTCGCATTTGATACAGTGCCTTATCATGTCGATGGGACGCCTCAAAACGCTTCACAGAATATACTGACAAGTGAGTTGACTGTATTTCGTGGGTCAAATTAAGATGAACAATGATATAAACGAAGGCTGACGATGTTGTGAATGTCAGTAACAATGGTATAACTATCACTCGCAGTGAGAATAAACCACAAAATTGACAGTATATCCTGTGAAGTACTTTGAGACGTCTCGAAGACGTGATGAGGCTCTACATCAAATTAAGGGATTATTATTATTATTAACAATGATATCAAATAACAATGATATAAACTATCAGTAACAATGTTGTAAGGTGTCCTGTGCTGAGTGAGGACAGTGAATGTGTGTGTGTGTGTGTACAGTGTGTACACAGTGTGAGTGTGTGTACAGTGTGTGTGCAGTGTGTACACAGTGTGTGTGTGTGTATACAGTGGGTACACAATGTGTACAGTGTGTGTGTACAGTGGGTACGCAGTGTGTACGTACAGTGTATGTGTGTACAGTGTGTGTGTGTGTACACAGTGTGTGTGTGTACAGTGGGTACACAGTGTGAGTGTGTGTGTACAGTGTGTGTGTGTGTGTACACAGTGTGAGTGTGTGTGTACAGTGTGTGTGTGTGTACACAGTGTGAGTGTGTGTGTACAGTGTGTGTGTGTGTACACAGTGTGAGTGTGTGTGTACAGTGTGAGTGTGTGTACACAGTGTGAGTGTGTGTGTACAGTGTGAGTGTGTACAGTGTGAGTGTGTGTGTACAGTGTGTGTGTGTGTGTGTGTACACAGTGTGAGTGTATTTCGAGTTCGCGGTCGCGCTCCGGGAGGTGTGTCCGTGGCGGCGCCCTGTAGTCGGGGCGCGGTTGCCGGCGCTATGGGCAACCTGTTCGCCAGGAAGAAGCGGAGCCGCGTCACCGAGCAGGACCGGGCCGTGCTGGTGAGGGGGGCCCGGGGGGGGGGACCGGGGGGCCCGGGGGGTCAGGGCCCTGTCACAGCCCCCGGGGCCGGCGCTATATCCCGGGCTCAGGCTTCAACCCCATCCCGAGGCCTCCCCCAGGCCCCGCTCTGTGGCCTTTCCCTCCAGTGACACCTGTCCCCACCCCCTGGGCTGTGTGTGTGTGTGTGTGTGTGTCTGTCTGTGTGTGTCTCTGTGTGTGTGTGTCTGTCTGTGTGTGTCTCTGTGTGTGTGTGTGTGTCTGTGTGTGTCTGTCTGTCTGTGAGTGTCTGTCTGTGTGTGTCTCTGTGTCTGTGTCTCTCTGTGTCTGTCTGTGTGTGTGTGTGTGTCTCTGTGTCTGTGTGTCTGTGTGTGTCTCTGTGTCTGTGTCTGTCTGTCTGTGTGTGTGTGTGTGTGTGTGTGTGTGTGTCTGTCTGTGTCTCTGTGTCTGTGTGTGTGTGTGTGTCTGTCTGTGTGTGTCTGTCTGTCTGTGAGTGTCTGTCTGTGTGTGTCTCTGTGTCTGTGTCTGTCTGTCTGTCTGTGTGTGTGTGTCTGTCTGTCTGTGTGTGTGTGTCTGTCTGTCTGTGTGTGTCTGTCTGTCTGTGAGTGTCTGTCTGTGGGTGTCTGTGTGTGTGTTAAAAATTGAAAACATCTGCTTGGCAGCATCGCCCTCCCCCACCCCACCCCCACATGTCCTCTCTCCCCCCCCCCCCCCCCCCCCCCCCCCACACATGTCCTCTCCCCACCCCACCCCACACCGCCTTCTCCCTCCGCCACGGCTCCCGCCACTCCCCCCCCTCCATACACTCCTTTGCCCCCATTTCTCCCTCCTCCCTCTCAACCACAATCACGCGGTTGAAGTTCACCGCCTGCTGCCTTGACCCCCCCTCCCCACCCAGCTGCTGGTCACTCAACTCCCCCTTCTCTCCCCCCTTCTGGCCGACACAGCCAACCGGTCTCTCTCTCTCTCTCTCTCCAGCCTCTGTTCCACTCCCCCCTGAAAACTGCTCTTATCACACCCCTCCTGAAAAAGCCCACCCTCAACCCCTCTAATCTCTCACACTACCGTCCCGTCTCCGACCGACCTACCCTTCCTTGCCAACGTCCTGGAACGCATCGTTGCAGGTCAGTTTCGGTCGCCCCTCTCCCTCGTGATACCCAGTGCAGAAAGGAGCTATTTGCGGCCGTTCAAACACACTGAAGAAAAGTAACAGCCATTCACGATGTGACAGTGTCATTGGTCTGGCTGACCATCACTGAAAACTGCTGAGAAACTACCCCTACAGAGTGATTTAAACCAGCATAATAATATAAACAATAATAATCCTTGTATTTGGTATAGCACCTGATCACGTCATTGAGATGTTTCAAAGCGCTTCACAGGGTAGGTTGGAGATGGGACGGTAGTGTGCGAGATTAGAGGGATCGAGGGTGGGTTTTTTGAGGAGGGGTGCGATGACAGTGGAGTCCTGTAGCTCGGTGATGAGAGCACTCGCCTCGCAAGCGAGAGACCTGGGTTCGATTCCCGGCAGGGGGCGAAACCTTGGGCAAGTTTCCTTACTCCACCCCCCTGATAATAATCCCTCAAGAAAAAAAAGCAATAATAAAATTGGTCACGTCAATCCACAGCTGTTTGTGGGGACGCTGCTGTGCGCAATTGGCTGCCGCGTTTCACCCACAAATATACAGTCAATTCACTTTACAGTCTATTCTGTGAAGCGCCTTAGACGTCTAGAAGACATGGAAAGTGCTATATCAAATGCAAGAATTATTATATACTGTAAAGTGGATCAACAGTGTGTTTTGTAGGCAAAAGTGGCAGTATTAACGCACATAGCAGTGTCCCACAAATAGCTGTGGAGTGAGTGACCAATTTTATTTGGGGGATTGTTGGACAGGACACCAGGAGAAACTCCTTTCTCTTTTCATACAGTATCATGGGATCTTTAATGTCTGCCTAAACGGGCAGACGGACCTCGGTTTAAGATCTTATCCGAAAGCCGTCGTTTATGGCTATGCGTCCGACCTCCCTATCACTGCACTGGAGTGTCAATTAATGTGAGTTCATGCTCTGACATGGGGGTTGAACAAAGAGACGAGAGTCAAGATCCTCATCCTCACCTACAAGGCCATTCACGGCCTCGCTCCCTCCTACCTCTCCGACCTACTATCCCCCTACTTACCTGCCCGAATCCTCCGTTCCTCTGGCTCCGGTCTGCACCACATCCCCCGCCCCAACCGCCCTACCATCGGTGGCCGGACCTTCAGCCTCTCAGCCCCTCAGCTCTGGAACTCCATCCCCCAGTGCCTTCGCTGCTTCCTCCCTTTCCTCCTTCAAGTCCGGTCTCAAGACCTTTCTCTTTGACCGTACCTTCATCTCCCCTCTCGACTCTCTACCCCCTCCTCGCTCCCTCCCTTCGCTCCCCTCACCCTGACCATATCCCCCCTGCTCGGGTCCCAACCCAACTGTCCAGCGCCTTGGGATGTCCTCCCGACATGAAAGGCGCTCTATAAATGCAATGTTGTTGTTGTTGAGAGTGCGACCAACTGAGCGAATCTGACGAGTAAATGGGCGCTTATTTCATCCTGATGGCAGCTTAACCTGTTCGGGTATATCACGGTAATAAGATGGATAATCACAGTGTGAGTGGATGACTCTGCATTACAGAGGTGCTGAGTGTGGGAATTTTTTTCATCTAATCTGTTTTCCAGTCCAGCCGATATCTAGAGTGACACCATGACTCACAGGCCACCATTGCCTTTACTCCGCAGAAAGTTATAAATAGCCTCGTATCATTACAAACCTCTCCATAAAACTTACATCGTACGGGCTCCTCTCCGTGATTGTTTGTTGTCCACAAGAAAATGTTGAAATCGTGATTTTCAGCTAATATTCAAGAGCCATTTGATGATTTAAAATATCCCGTCAGGGCATTGAGTTCGCAGACTTGGCTGACACTGCAGGGGAGTGTTGGGGTGCGGTGCTGTGCTAAGAGTTGTTGTTTGTTGAGGAATTAAAGTGAGGTCCTGTCTGTGCCTGTCCAGGTAGGCATTTAAAGATCCCACGCACTATTCAAAAAGAGAAGGGAGTGTCTCAATCTTTTCCCTTTCAATGAACTATCGCGTCGGAGGGGGGGAATAATAAATCCTCGTTGAAGTTTATGTTTCCCACCCCTGGGGGGCGCCAGTACTCTCCTGGGTGGTAATTGTGTGGTGAAGCTCAGAGTCTTTGCTGTGCAGTGACGGGGCGAAGGGAAGGAGGGGAGTGAGTCAGCCATAGTAAGCCAGTGGCCCTTGTGAGTTTGAACAAACTGGTTGCGTCTCATGTACTTAGCAGCTGTGATTCATCTGCCGTAAAACCACTGTCTGCAAACCCATTGAAAATGTGTGAAAGTAGAGTTGGAAAAGATCAGGTTTGGCAGCATTGGAGGCCAATCGGATTCCTGCTTCGCACTCCCATCATATGTCATCGTCGCTGTGTCCGTTGGCGAGTTGGAAATGTGTGTGTGTGAGAAGTTACTCTCTCTGTGTCTCTATGGAACCCGTCCTATTGTGGAATCTAAGCTGTGAAATTGCAAGTCTCAGACTTGAACGGTAGAAATGTCCGTCAGTGTTCACTGCCTCGAACAGGAAGGGAATTTGATGGTTGTCTCCTTCCTCAGATCATAGTTTCCCGAAAACTCCAGGGGCTGCTTTCGAGACCTGAAATGAGGAGCCTGCTCCCAAACTTCCAATTAGTGTTGTACCGCTATGTCCATGCTCTTTGGAGCTCCCGCAAAAATCTCTCCTTTTCAAACCTTCCTTCCATGTGCTTTAATCCCCTTGTAAGAAAAAGACTTGCTCTTTAACCACCTCCCTCCTACACCCGACTCTTCCCCCTCCCCCCCCAGCTCTCTGACTCCGCTCCATCCTCTCTGAGCGCGAACGAAAGAACCTGCAACAAGTGCAGATTGTCGTTGCGACGTCTATAAACGCTGAAATCATTGTCTTGACCGTCGCGCACGTTTCCTCAACTGTCCAGCGCCTTGGGATGTCCTCCCGACGTGAGAGGCGCTAAGCAAATCTAAGTTGCTGTTGTTTCACGGCCACTGCAAGTAACGCTCTTCCTCCCTTTCTCCAGCAACTGAAGCAGCAGCGGGACAAGCTGAAGCAATACCAGAAGAAGATCGGCGTTCAACTGGAAAAAGAGCGGTTGCTCGCCCGACAGCTGCTGCGAGATGGCAAGAAAGAGTGAGTATCACTCGCCGGATAAGGCCAAGTGTTCTGTAAACCTTTCCTGTAAATGTTACAGGGCTTTGTAAGACTATTAATTGCAGTCTCGTACAGTTGTTCATGGCTCAGAGGCTGAGAATGTTGAAGGGGTGACCGGATTAAAGGTCTTCAAGATTTTTGGTGGGAGCCTCAGCCTTGTGAATGCGTGTTGCTGCTGTGGTTGTTGATGATGTTGTTTTTTTTAAATCGACAGGAAAGCCTTGCTCCTGCTCAAGAAGAAACGATTCCAGGAGCAGCTTCTGGATAAAACGGAAGTTCAGATCAGTAACCTGGAACAAATGGTGAGTGTTAGAGGGAAGCGTTCTGACTAGTCTGAACAAAATTAGCCGGTTGCCTGAAAGCTGGCTTTCCCAAGTGTGAAACTAGTAGCTGGTATTCTTATATTCTTGAATATTCTTATTTTTTTGTTTCACAGGTTCAGAACATTGAATTTACCCAAATAGAGATGAAAGTTATCGAAGGGCTGAAAATCGGCAATGATTGTCTTAAGAAAATGCACGAGGTGAGTGCGCACGCAGGATTTGTCATCATTCTTAGCCATGTCTCCTTGCGTAAATAGCCAAACAAATAATAATAATAATCCTTGCATTTGATACACTACCTTATCACACTGTTAAGACATCTCAAAGCGCTTCACAGAATATATTGTAAAGTGGATTGACAGTGTATCGATTATTAAGACGTTGTTCAGCCCGTACACGAGATAGTACCTCAATGTCTTTTCAGTGTTTTCCTAGAAAACCCTGGCATTTGGACAAACTGAAGTCATCGTTGTTGTTTTTAGGTTATGTCCATTGAAGAGGTGGAACGAATAATGGATGAAACGCAGGAAGCTGTTGAATACCAACAGGTGAGGACCATCTTAATAAAGTGAGCAGACAAGTCTCCTCTGGTTAGGTCTCTTTTCTGATCCCTGTCTGTATATCTTGTTGAACTGGGGCAAGGGTGGGGGAAGGGGAGCAGAGTAAGGTTGAAGTCCAGAAAAAATGAAAACAGTCAGAATGAAGAGTAATGCTAAGCCTGGATTCACCTCGTCACCGAAACATTTGGAACCTTAAGTAGTGCAGTCTCGCTCGAACACTGCAGGTTAACTATCGTTGAATTGAAGACATCGTGTCCACTGGTTTTGTCTCTCTAATGCCTGATGGGTTTGTTCTTTCAGCAAATAGACAATATTCTAGCTGGAAGTTTCTCTCAGGAAGATGAGGATGAAATTCTGGCTGAGCTGGATGCATTAACTCAGGTGAGGACAATGCTGATATACTGTATTGCCGGATGCTCAGTAACTTCTGAAATCACCAGCGTTTGGCAGAATTTTACTGGAAAGTTTAGTGACTGTATTTGTAGGGAAATAAGGCAGCCAGTTTGCACACAGCAATGTCCCAAAGGATAGCAATTCTGACAATGCTTCCCCCATTACTGCACTGCAGTGATGACCTATAGACTGTAAGGGTTTCAACCCACCAACATCTGACTCACAGACAAGAATGACTGAACAGAATGACTGAGCAAATGTTCCCATGCTGATTACTGAAAACACTTTTTTTTAAAATCTTTTCAGGAAGAAATCGAACTCCCAGAAGTTCCAACAGAACCACTGCCAGAGGTGCCCACGGCAGCGATGGGTAATGTTCACCCTCTAATATTAAGTCGAATTTGATTTAACGCTGCATAGAGCTTCAGCGTCACTCTGTTTTTCAGTTTCACTCCATGAAATTCTGCGGTTGGGAGTGGTGGTGGGAGATCCGGGTGGACGAAATGTATTCCTTCCTTAATGTTTTAAATAACCCGGGAGAAATAAGTTCTTTTTTTTCTCTTCTCTCTCTTTAAACACACACAGGGAAAGGAGAAATCAAAATTCAGACCAAAAGAGAGATGGTGGCAGCGTCGTAGCCGGAGGCAATGGGTCCAGGTCTCGGTAGCATCTCCGAGTGCAGCTTCTCCTCAGTGTGTATTCCGGAGTCGATCATGATTCATTTCCCTGTTGGGATTGAAAACCTCAAACTCTGTACATATCAGGAGGATCTTCGCTCTTTCCTGGAATAGGTTTTTTTTTACACACGTCAATGAACTCATGTGAAAGGCCGCTTTTCACTTTTTCTAATTTTTTTTCTCTCTCTCTCTCTCTGTGTGGTTGAAAGAAGTGGTGCAAAGGAAAGGCGGCCGATACAGTGATTTAGTAAACAGTCGGTATTTCCTCTGTAGCCCCTGAACGGATGTATCCACAATCAAGCCTCTTTGCAAATTCCCAGATCGAGCTTTCATCCTAGCAGTTTGAATTAGTTCAAATCGGTTTTAGGTTGTGACCGTACCCAATGGGTAAATCAAATCAAATCACGTGGGATATTGTTTTTGTGATCATTTAATCTTTCAAAAGGAAAGGAAGCCCAGGGAACGGGTTAACGGGGTGGGGGAGAGAGGAATATTGTGTAAAGACTAGCATGCAACTTCCTTCCTCCCCAACCCCTTTTTAAACTACAAACTGTTTGCACTTCTTGAGCTAAATTAATACAGGCGTTCTTCGGCAAGAGGGGTTTCTAATGAAAGCACTGATGAGAAATGTTTGAAGTCCATCGTATTTTAAGAAAACTAAGTTTGTACAGACGATTTAAAAAAAACATTTAATAGGACTGAGCAGTATTGAAGAAGAGCGTTTCTCTGAAATCTCAGAGTTGTCATTCAAAGACCCCCCTCACATGGACTCGCTCTGACATTACACAAAAAAATTCTCGTTTGCATGCGATAAAACTGGGGCCAGGATTGACTGCTTACAGATTATAACTGGGCTTCAGTCTATTAGTCGTTTCTGACATAGAAGCCAAACCGTGATTTGTGTCTGGCTTCCTTTACGGTGTGGTTTCCAGTGTGCTTATCTATTGCAGTGACTGACACAAGCTGTTGCTGCGTGTGGAACGGACGGCTCAGGCTCATTCATTAAATTGGAGGGGTTGAGGTGGTTAATTTCTGATCGGTTGATCAAACTTCTGTAAACTTTTTTGGCTGGGATGATCTCTCGTGAAATGATTTTGCCATTTGGTTTGGTTTGGCTTTCCCACCTGCCATATTACAGCATCTAATCCAGCCGCTTACTTTTCCTTGGGTTTTAATCTTCTAAATTCTAATTATACCCAGTTACAATGAACTGAACTAAAACAACCTCGGATTGAGCTGAGTCCCATTTCCAACACAGCCATTCAGTATTGTCTAACTAACGCTCTCCATGCCACACAGACGTCGTCGTTTCTGAAACATCTTGTGTCATAAAATGAATGTAAATTGCAAAACTGAAGGTTAACATGGAGATTGTGGGATTTTTTTCACTAATGGTCTTTAAACTAGAGCAGAGAGTGTTGCTGAGGCAGAGAGTGATAGGTTGGGGAGGATGGTGGGGGGTTGGGTGGGGTGTTGGAGGCTTGTTAGTCTGCCTGAAGGGAAACCAAGCAACTTACCCTCGGGGAAGAATTGTAAAGTTGGGCTATTCACCAGCTTAAACAGACCAGGGCTTAGTGAGGGCTGGCATTCCGCCTAGGTTCTGGGATAGGGAGGAGAAAGGAGGGGACCTATTTTCAAACTCAAAGTGAAATACATTTTAAGTGGCAAATCGCCCTCTCCCCAGGTGAATACTATAAAAGACAAAATAGTGCGCTTCAAATCTAGAGCAATCGTGTCTTTTTTTCTGTCTCTGCGCTGATCTTTGAGTTCGCCCACCGGCTTTCTTGGAAATCCTTGCTTAAATACGCATCCTGTAGCTTCATTTACAAACTCGTATGTGAGTGTGTGTACCAGCTGCTTTGAGCTGTGCCTCAGCTCAGTCCTGGAGAACGTACAGGGGGGTAGTAGGGGAAGGGTCGTTTTGTGATTGTAGCCTTCCAGTTATATAAGGAGATACCTTTACTACTATCCTCGGTTTAAGAACTATAAATACACATGCGCTCATCCACAGGTCTGTTTTATAATCTCTGCAATAATTTCTATAAATTGCCATTGATATTTACAAAGTAGAATAATTCATGTCAGCAACCCCTCCCTTTTTGCAGCAAAATGATCTGAATAAACTAATCTGGATACAAATGTGTTTGGAAAGCGCTGCTTGAATCAAGTTTGAGTGCTAATGGCCGAGCTCGTCATCACTGAGAGGGTCAAGTGTGTGTGTGTGAGGCACTCGGTTGTGATGTGGGCATCCAAGGTCTCGCTGTCATTTAAAGGCATAGTGTTGGTGTTGTGGTAAGTAACTTGTACTGGAGAAGGGTGGTGAGGAGGCGAGCAATTGTGAAAAGTAGTATGAAATAATCAAGAGAGGATGATGCTCTCATATGATTGATCACAATCATATGTGTAATGTCTAACTTTTGTTACGCAGGTTTTCTTTGTGTGTGTGTGTATAAAAAAAATGTATTCCAAATGCACGCGTTAACCCATCGCCGAGTTTAAGGGACTTCAAACTTCTGAAGAGTTTAGAAATTTCGACAAGTATTAAGTACAGGTTTTCATCTTTTCATTCATATTGAATGAATGAAACAATGTATAAAAACAAAATGAGAAGCTACCTGAAACGCTTAGCTGGTTAAACGTCAGCAGTGCTCCAAATGCGAACAATTTATAGAAGTGAGCAAGGTTCGGGGGAAGGAACGGATAATTCATGCTATTTTGCAGATTGACTGAATTACAGGGTTTCGGAGCCTTCACCAATTCTGGGAATCTGCTCACAAAAAGGAGCAATTCAGAATGACCGCATTAGTCATCACAGTCCAGCAATTTGTCTGGAAGCCAAAGGAGCCTTCAGAGAGAGTTTGTGCTGCCAATGATAAGTAGATTCTGTATATAGAACACGTTGCTCGCCAGGAGATTCTATAAGAAGTTTGTATTCCGATGGGCATTGCGAATGTCTATCCTTACAAGGTAATTGGTTGGTGAGAAGTGAATCATGATGATAATAATACTTGCATTTTATATAGCACCACTGTTTGATATAGCAGGACTCCACTGTTTGGTCACTTTCCAGCCATTGCCTCCCTTCTCCCCCCCCCCCCCATTCACCCAACTTCCCACTTGCCGGAGTTCCGCACTGTTTCCAAAAAGCCCTGGAGACGGTTTTCCTCGGTGCAAGGTGCCGTGTAAGCGCGCGGTCTGTGGCCGAGAGGCAACCTGTCACATTTTATTCCGCGCACAGCATCGCAGTCGGCGTTCAAAGGGACCCTCGGAAAACTCCCTCAGCAGCAGCAGCATCTGCTCGCCCGGTTAGCTGTGTGCAGTCAGCATAGTGCTGCTAGTGACTAACCCTTGTAAGAGAATGTAAATGAGCACGTGGGTGGTTATAAGAGGAGTGATGTTTCAGCCTCTTCCCACACTGAAGCATTTTCATCCCATCGCCTGAGTCAGGCATGACACGTTTAAACACCTCAGTGCACTTTAAACACTGGGACAAACTGCAGCTCTCGACAACCCTGAACAATACTATGTGACGCCTCTCTCTGTGGCAGGTAACTCAAGTGTATAGAATCCAAGCTGGGAACAGGACACTGCAACTTTCATGAGTCAATCTCTTATGAATCAAACTTGCATTGATCAATCTTGATCAATCAATTCCCCCCCCCCCCCCCCCCCCCCCGCCTCCCTCTTTGTGTCATCCTGTGTTAGTCCACCTCACTCACCTCGTAGCTTCATCGTGTGACTTCAAGCCCATGTTGTGACTTGACTTGTAGGGTAGGCTGGCACTCCAGCTCAGTACTAGGATTGTCCGAGGTGCCGTCTTTCTGGTGAGACATTAAACCGAGTTACCATCATCGTTTAAAAAAATATATATTTGAAAAGAGAAGGGATTTTTTGTCCTGGTGCCCTGGCCAACAACCCAGCAACCCCTCCCACCATTATTAAGTTGCTGTTTGCGGGACACCGCTGTGTGCAAATTGGCTGCCGGGTTCGCCTACAAATAGTTCGCTCTGCAGAAAACTCTGAAGCACTTGGGAGACGTGATCAGGAGCTGTATCAAAGAGAAAGTTTGTTCGACCGTACACCTCCTCCTCTCCCCACCCACCAACCAACGCTGCACACACGGCTCCTATCTGACGTGCAATAGTACGTAAACTACGTAAACCCCCCCACCTGACAGGCGTGCTACTGACATCACCGAAAGAAAGGAATCCGAACAGCATCACAGATTGCAAGCTCCGTCACCAAGGCAACCACTAACGTAAAAGCAGGTCTCTCGCCAAAGACAAAATACTTTACAGGCAAAGGAGAAAGTGGCGGTGGTGGTGGGAGGGGAGGGAAGAGAGGAAAAGCAAAGTTTTCTTAACTTATCTTTCCCACGAGTGCACATTCGAAGAGGGTGTTGAGATGGTGGCCTTTACCTGCTGGGATCGCTTTGCTCCTCGGAATATTCTCTGCCCCCCTGAGGCTCTTACTACATGACACGTTTCCACAAAGTTAACACATGGTTATAACATCGAGTTGTACTTGTAAAATAGCATCTGCCTTTCACATGAACTGCACATCTCCAATCCAAAGTAACAATTAACCCGTCTTCGGAAATGTAGTGAATGTCTGGCAGACAGTTTAGTTTGTTGGCAACACTGTCGATCAGCGCCAGAGTTTTTATTAGTAATAATAATAATTGGATTTTATACAGCGCCTTATCGCATTGCCTCAAAGTGCTTCACAGGATTAACAGGAAAGTATAGTGACTGTGTATTTTCTGACACCCCACTTCTCCACCCGTCCCCTTCCCTCGGCTGGCTCCGACCTTCCCATCCCTCATCCGTTCCGCTCTACCGTTGGCAGCCGTGCTTCTGTGCACTATTATGGAACTCTCAATCTCTCCGCCTTGCAAGACAGGATAACTGAGAAGAAACGATCCATGTTTTGCTGGAATAGTGATGGAGTGGAGGAGGGGGAGACCCCTTCACATCCACTTGAATCACAAGGCGGATGAGATGTGAAGCAATAACTTGATCCAGAAAAAAAAAGATCTGGAAATATATAATCAACTTGTCTTCAATATAGAAAGTGTCAGGGGGTAAATACGGAGCAAGCTTTTGATCCAAAGGCAAGAATGCTACCGACTGAGCTCAGCTGACACCTTGCCATTTGGCCTGACTACTTAGGCAAGATGCTTATCGGTTATCACTCAGGCAACTGGGACCAAGTATTGTGTTGTTGTTGTTGTTATTGTAGGCAAACGAGCCTAAATTTATTTCAACTAAACTGCTCCCTGCCATTCTCCAACTTTTGGGAGATCAGAAAGAAACGCCGAAAAAAGGAAAGGATAAAATGTCACCGACAACAACTTGTGTTATGTAGCGCCTCTCAGGCAGAGTAGCGTCCCAGTGCACTTGACAGTGCCGGAGCACGAGGCCGAGCCGGGGGGGTGGGGGGGCGTGGGGACGCAGCGGCACATCGGAGGAAGTTTCCCCTGATTTAATAATAATAATCCTTGCATTTGATATAGAGCATGATCACGTCTTCGAGACGTCTCAAAGCGCTTCACAGAATATATTGTAAATTTTGTGGGCGAAACGCGGCAGCCAGTTGCGCGCAGCTGTATCCCACGCACAGTCGTGGATTGGGTGACCACATTTTTTTTTAGAAAGGCAGCCTGTGTGCTTGTTGCTGGCATCCTTCGTGGTTAATATAGTTAAGATAAAATATTAATTGCCAGTAGAGTTTGTTGCGCTCCTGATGCTGCCAACACTTGTGCACGTGGGTGTGCTGAGCAGCCTCCAAGCACACATCCCGCCCACACCCTGCCTGACCAAGATTTCAGGATTTCCAGGCAGAGGCGTCTGTTAACATTAGGCTCCCTGCTCCATCTGTCACTCCGCAGGAAAAACCCAATGCGGGATGTACTGGGGGAGGAGGGAGAGATGGGAAGGTTGGGAGGTCCGATTGTCAAATTCAAAATAAAATGCAATATGTATTTAAAGATGCATATCTTTTTTCGCTCTCGCCTCTGAGTCAGAAGGGTTTAGGTTCAAGCTCCACGTCGGGACTTGGAATCACATAGTCTAAACTGACATTCCAAAGCAGTGCTGGGGGGGGTGTCGCATTGTTGGAGGTGGCCATCCTTCGGATGAGATGTTAAACTGAGGTCCCGTCTGCCTGTTCAGGTGGCTGTCAAAGATCCTGCAGGGCTGTTCGAAAAGAGAAGGGAGTTTCTCTCTCCTAGTGTCCTGGCCAACAATCCCCTGAATAAAATTGGCCATTCAGTCCACGAGTGTTTGTGAGACATTGCTGTGCGCAATTGTGCTGCCATGTTTGCCTACAAATATGCAGTCACTCCATTTCATAGTAAACTAAAGGAACGTGCCTTATCATATCAAAACCCCTCAAGTGGCTTGGTTAGGAGTAATTAATATTGAAAGTAGAGGCTAGAGGCTGTTTACCATTTTGTGCTTTAATGGTTTAATGCTTTTAAGTGTTTAATATTTTTAAAGAGAAAGGGAGGGTGCCAACACATTGCCTCAGAGCTTTAAAGCGTGTAGACAGAAACTCTACCTGGGTCTAAACGTAGCGTTTCAGAACACTCCGAATTTGTCAAATTTACAAACTTGGTCCCAAATTTTGAAGCCGGATTTTCTCTAAGTTTCTTTTTAAAGTTAAGACTGCATTCGACAATTTGCCAATTTCTGCAAACTTCAAAACCCAACGTTGCGGGAGTAAGCCGAGACCCAAGTGGAATTTCTACCCAGCTGCGCCTTGAGTATGACACAGCTTTATGACCTTTATCCTCCACACTCTGTGCATCACATACCAGGCACCTGCTGGAGGTGGGAGCAGATCAAAGAGAGACACGGAGAGAGTCACCGAATATCGCACCGGGTGGCAATCGATTTCATAGTAACTTTGGTATCAGACGTGTGAGACGTCACTGATCTGCCCCCTCTCAGCATGAGGATGATGTACTAACCGGGAGAGACCGTACAAACAAAAAAAGAGACCTTTGTTGGTCAAACCAGTCTCTGACATGGGAACTCATCAACAACAGATTACATTTGTATAGCTTCTTTCACATCAGGAGGACGTCCCAAGGTGCTGGACAGTCAAGGATTTGCACCCGAGCAGGGGGTTGGGATCAGGTGGGCTTGAGGACAGGGAGGGTGGGGGTGGGAGGGTGACCGAAGGTGCGGTCGAAGAAGACAGTCTTGGGACGGGCCTTGAACAATCAACAAACCTTTTTTTTTTGTATGGTTTAATTTATTTTGAGCAACAGTGGAAAATGAAGATGGAGCAAAAAGTACTGACTTCCTATGCCAGTCTGACCCTCCTGTGCCAACAGCAATATGGATGGCAAGTTGCATTTAATTCTGTAGAATATGTGGAGACAACACAATGAATTTTGACCTTGTGCTCAGCACCACCACCTGCTGAAGAAGAAGAAGAAGAAGAAAAATAAAACGCCGCTTGCAGTAAGAGTTGTTGACACAACATATATTAAACCTGAACTCGAAAGGCAAACCTCTTAAGGAAAACAAAATCCCAGTTCTCTCACCTTTCAGTCGTGATAGTCCCTCATCACCATTTCGTGCTGAAGAAGAGTGAAAAGAAATTTAGTGTGAAAACGTGAAGGTTGAGTAGCATAATCAACATAACAGTTGGCACACTTGCGCTGGTGCCATCTGCTGCCTATGTATCACCAGAGTGTATAATCACCAAATATGGTATTATTTGGATTACAGCACAACAAAACCTAGTGAACGCAGCCCTATGGACTAACGGTTGTATGTTTACCTCCTGGATTATTGGGGAGACATTCCACCTGGGTGCAGATTTATGACTAATCCTTGCATTTAAAATATACAGTCAATTCACTTTACAGTGTGTTCTGTGAAGCGCTTTGGGACGTCCTCCCGACGTGAAAAGCGCTATATCAAATGCAAGGATTATTATTATTATTATTAATACATTGATCTATTATTAAATGAAGTGCTCTGGGACACTATCCTGCGTGAGGGGCACTATATAAATGCAAGTCGTCGGGAGGACGTCCCAAGGCGCTGTTGTATGTGTTAAAGAGCATGGGAGTGGGTTTAGAATAGGTGATTCACGTTGGCAAAACTGTCACTCAATGGGTGAAATGGCCTGTTGTTGTAACTTTCAATGACTCTTACAATTTTTCTGACTAAGACGCCCTTTAAATTATGACTTGTGATGCAATGCCTCTTATGGCCCCACGATGGCAGACGAATAAAATGGAATAAATACATTTATGTACAGGTGGCATTTGATTTTGATCACTGGCTCACTTCGTGCATGACATAGTGCTCCCTTTGGTGCAACACAAACTTGTGTCTAAAAGCTACGACTGGGCCGGTCCAGAAGATAATTCTGAAGCGAATTCCCCCGCAACGAAGAAATCTTAAAACGGGAGCGAGAGACTATCTATAAAAGACACCGAGTGTCAAGTCAAATATTAGAAGTGTGGCCATCATGTGGTGCTATGCTGTGATTCCACCGAATGCCTGATCTTGAGGGAGACCCAAGAGCAAACGGAGGAAAATCATGTGCTCAATAATGAAAGTATTCTGGAAGCATGAGATCAAATGAGTCAAAGGGTCTTCTGCATTTCAAAGCTTCCCTTGTGATCACCTGAGAAGTGATCTGCAGCCATAACCTTGCTGTGGAACTGAATGTCTCAGAGTTAGACATTCTCCATAGTGTGTCTATCCAGTGGCAAAAACAAACGACCAGCACTAGCCTGAACATAGCTTCTTTTCAATGAATACTCTGTAAGGATAGCGGAAAATCTCTGGAGATAAGTACTAAACTGGGGAACACGGATATACAAGATGAAGGAGAGTGGAAGAAATTGAAAGGGGGAAGGGAGGGAAAAATGTATATGCTGGAAATCGGAACCCCCAAAAAACCTTGCATTTGATATAGCGCCTTATCACGTCGTTGAGACGCCTGGAAGCGCTTCACTGAAAATACTGTAAAGGGTGTATTTTGTGGGGAAAAATAGAAAATATTGAAAAATGCCATGACTGGGAGACTTGTACGTAGCATTACGTTGCATTACTTACACTTGCGGACCTCAACGCATTGTTTGTGCAAGTAGGAGTCTGAAAACCATCGCGTTACAGCGTACAAGCATTGCTGCTCGGATACCCCTGCTTCGGGACGCTCAAGGCGGGAGAAATTCCAAGTGCACGCCTTTTCCCATGGTTTCATTTTCTAACAACCCCAGAATTTATTCACGGAGCTTCTTCTTGTAAATGAGATTCAGCAAAGCAGACGAGGATTTTGTCGATTTAATTGCCACGGTTGTAAACCACCCTGTGGGTCTTTGTCTCAAGCGTCTTGGATTCCCCCCCGCCCCCCCCGCCCTCACCTCCCACCCCAACCGTCGCCCCTTGCATATCCATCCTAAGGAAGGTATTTAAATATTAAGGATGGGGCGGTGGATGATGGGGCGGTGGATGGTGGAGCGGACGTGGGAGGGGAGGGGGAAGAGAGAGAGAAATGTCATCGCTGTAGCATCTGAGCAAACGTTTGCTCTCTGCAAGTGACTCATAGTTGCCCACACCGGATTACGCTCGCGTCTTGACTGAAATGTGCATCATTACAAACAGGGATTTTGCTGCAAAAAAAAAAGGGTTGCCAAGTGTCCAAAAGAACAGAGAGGGAGAGAGAGAGAGAGGGAGAGAGAGAGAGCCCTCGCCTGCTAAGTGCCAAGCATTACGTATTGATTGCAGTGCAAAGGGAATTTCTAACCCAGCATTAACTGGGTTGCTATAGAAATGCTTTGGAGCACTGGTCTCCTTGTGTGAGTGTGTGTGTGCTTCCAGCATCTGTTTGCCAATGGCTTTGCAAAAAAAAAGGGGGGGGGGGAGGAGGGGAGGAGCCACTGGGCGTGACGTCAGCCGCACGACGTCTCCAGCTCAACCGAACTTGACTACTTCAGGGACGCGAGGGAGGGAAGGGGGGCGTGTCCGAGAGTGGGGCGGGGCGGAGAGATCGACGGCGGCGCGAGCCAATCGGAGCGGGCGGGGCCCCCCCCACCGTGGGCGCCACCAATCGGAGCGGCCGCCCGGGGTGCGTGAAGCCCGCCCCGCAGCCATGAAGTTAGGTGGGTCGGGCTGGGGCGGGGCGTTTCCTAGGCGACGGGGCGGACGGACGGAGTTGGCGGTTGGGAGAGGCGGGAGCGTTTATAAAGGGTCGGTGTCGGGGGAAGAAGACGGCGCGAGGAGGTTGTGTCTGAGGGAGAAAGAGAGCGTCTCTGTGCGGAGCCACTGACTGACTGACTGACTGACTTGGACGGACGAACGAACTCGGCGGCTTTTGTTTTTTGAGCGGGGAGCGGACTGACTGCAAACCCGACACGATGTCTCGCTCGGAGGAGGTTCACCGCCTGACCGAGAGCGTCTACAAGGTGGGTTAAATATGGTGGGGGGTCGAGGGGTGAGGGTGAGGGTAGGCCTCGCTGTGTGGGGGGGGGTGGTATGGGGGCATGTCACGGGCCGGTGGGGTTTGGGCTTCAGGAGGTTCCGACTCTTTGACTCTTCTCTGGGTGACCCCCTCCCCTCCCCCCCTCAAAAAAAAAGTCCCCCAAACAATCGGTCTTTTTAAGTTTTTTTTTATTTTATAAAAACTTTTTCTTTCGCTTATTTTTTTTCTTCTTCTTCTTCTTCTCTCGCTCTCTCTGTGACTCTGGGCGGGGGTTTGGGGAGAGACCCCCTCCCCATCACCATCACCCCCCCCCCCCCCCCCACACACACACACACACCACAGTCACTCTTCCAGTTTGGATTTATTTTAAAATGTAGAGAGAGAGAGAGAAAAAAAGCAAATCTCGTACTTTTCAGACAATTTAATTCCTTCGCAACGACGTCCAAATTACTTCTGTTTATACTTGTATTCCAGATTAGTTGCATTTAAAGAAAAGATGTACTGTTCGAGTCTCTACTCTTCATATGTTTGTATATGTATGTGTTTGTGTGTATATAGTATATTACACCGATTCTGTACTTTTTTTCCTGTAATCTTTTTATGTTGTTGTTGTTTTCCAGTCCCTGCACTTTTTTTTTGTAGTGATTCCAGTCTTATTTTTTTTCAGTAGGACCTACTGGGTAACGACTCCAAGTCTTTGACCTTTTTTTTTATTACTGTTCCAGTCTGTACTTTTTTTTTGTGACCATTTCCAGTCTTCGCGTTTTATTTTATTTTTTTTTAGCTTCTACCATCGACTTCACCGACTCGGTCTGTTTTCATGGGTTGTTTTTGACGTGTTTGTTTGCTTTCTGTGTGTCAAAGTCCAAGTTGGGCAAAAGGGGGGAATGGGCTCGTGACTCGTTTGAGTATTTTATATATATATATATGTGTATTATTTACATATAATCTATTATATATAACAATGTCTGTGCTCATGGTGAAACTGTAGAGAAAACCTTTAACTCTTTCTTGGCTCCTGATTCTAAGGTGTGTCGGTGTTTGGGACGATGCTGTGTGATTTTTTTTACACACATATACAACAAAAAGAGAATAGACTTGTGGAGTGCAGCGTTAGCACTTTTTCAAGAGTTTCTTACCCCCCCCCCACCCCTTCCCTCCAAAAAAAAACCCCCTCCCTGGTCCGAGATTGGACCGCCTTCCCATTTCCAGTGTGTCATGAATTCCCATGGCTGGGAATGTGTCAAAGGACGAGATGTTCCCAATCGTTCGTATTCCGATCGTGTGCGTTTTTGAGTTTTTGTAATAAAAAAAACTTTTTGACCCACTCGTTAATAAAGAGCGTGCGTTCGGCTTCAGCGTTTTTTTTAAGCCAATCTATCGGTTGCTAATTGGAGGTTGTTGCTTGGATGGGACTCTTTCCGTGTTGTGTTACGGCTCCCACCCAGCGGGGGTGGGACGGGACGCGTGTTTTTCTTCGGAAGGCGGTAAAACCCGATCGAGGAGTGAGTTCGCCGATTCGATGTTGGGATTACAAGGCTCAAGAATGAAGCTCTCGTTCAGTTTCGCAGTCTCATGAATTGCGAAGTCTGAAACGCCGCCTGTAATACACCCAGTGTCGCCCACGCTGTGTGTGTGTGTGTGTGTGTGTTCAATTTTGGTTGTGTTCATCTTATTTGTTGCAAAAAAAAACCAATTCACCGTCGCGTATTACAGTGTATTTCCCCCCAATACGTTCCTCTGCAGAAGCTTCCTGCGGATTTGCACCTTCACGTTCAATTTACGGTGATTCACTGCTGTGTTTATTGCGTCCATTCAGTATCATGACCGTCCCCCTCCCCCCCGTATTTTGCACCTTTCCCCCCCTTTTAAGCCTTAAACTGCCGAACAAAGTTTTTTTTACGTAAAGTGACTATCTTCACTTTACAGATCGGTAGGATCGAGTCAGAAACCAGTGTGCGGACCATTTGAGGTGCGTTGATTGATGCGGGTGGAGGTTTTTTGTTTTCATCGTTACCAACCAGTGCCGGAGTTCCTCAGGTTCCCCCCGAGGGAAATCTCCGCAGCGTACGTTACCAAAAGAGGTCTTTAAATAGTGACGCCTTGTGTTTTTCCCACTCGCCCACATTTGCACATTTTTTTCTGCAGTCGAGCGAGGTGGGTGGTGCGAGAACCCCGCACATCCAGGCGGTGTTCACTGCGAACAGAATGCACCTGGTTCAGGGTTTGCAGTCGATGGACGGGGAATAATTTGTGACTCATCAACCGAAAGAGAGGCATATATTTCCCACTTTGCATAAAAGCTTTTCTTCCGCTTCCCACTCCCATTCCCCCCCACCCCCATCACCCCCCCCCCACCTCCGGTTGCAGATGCTGTTCCCACAGTTCTCTGGTTGACGTTGTACGATAGGAGGCAACGTAAACCTCAGCATTGCAAGTGCTGCGTATCCAAAAGAAATTTCGATTCCTATCGTAAGACTTGCTGTTGCATTAACCAGTTGAATGCCGTTCAAACCTTTGCACAAACGTGGTATTTTAAAATGGATTCAGTCTGGGTGGTACGATTTATTGCATTTATAGTAAAACACAAATTTCCAACAAATGCTAATTTATGCCCCCCTCTGTAGGAAGATATCTATTGGTCTTTTTAGTTCTCTGGTGCTGTAGGATCGGCTCTCAAATCTGATGAAGCCACTATGTTAAATGAAAAAGAGGAGGATGTTATTCACAGAAAACTGGTGACTATACTTCTGTGGTATTTAATCAATCTTGCAGGCATAACATTTTACGCAGAGCAAATCTTGGATATAATTCTATAATTTCAAGAGCATTTTAAAATAATGAAGCATCAGAGATGGTATGCTTCCTGAATTTGGATCTCCGTGAGGGTGTGCCTCCTACTGTTTTCAACCAGACCACTTGATGGTCCATTTTGATGGAATCCCTGAATTCCTGCAAATCCAGAATTGAGCTAGCAGTTTTTCAGTATCTGGTTGGATAATGTGTGGTGCAATATCTTTCTTCTGATGCAAGTTCACCACATGTGATACTCATTTTTTTGATGGCCACTTCCATTACTATTGAGCATCGGATATCAAGTATTGTGACATTTTTCATTCTAGTGAGTCATTAAATCTGTAGTCTTTCAAATTTGAAGGGCTGGGCTTTGTGACAAACGACCTTGTGGTAAATTCGTACTGAGGCAGTTACCTTGTGGGTAATTCACACCAGGTGGATTTCAGGAGGCTACCTTGTTTGCTGTAGTTACTGTTATTGCTTGCTGACTGTTGGCTTGCTTTGCCCTGCCATCAGCTGACTGACTGTGTTGGGTGTGGAATGCAAAGTTTCCATGATGAGGCAAATGCAAGAGAAGCTGCCCACTTCTAACTTTTCTCACAACTCTGTGCACATCCCAATCAAAAGCAGCACTCACTCCCCCCATTCCTGTGTACCAATTTGCAAGCCAATCATGTGAGATTTGCTGCAGTTACACTACATTAAATTATATGCACAGCAGTAGCAAAACTTCAATGTGACCTCAGCTGATGGCAACTCCAATTTAGACCTGAAACATTTTAAGACTGTTTCTGGCTGTCCCCATTGGACTTTTTATGTGTGTGATGTTTGGAGAACCAGCTGCACTACTTCCTGACATTTTATTAACTTTAATAATAAATTGGTATTTGGCACTAAATAGGTGAACTCTGTTCGTGCTGTTCCCAATGTGTTCAGTCAGCACATGACCTGACGAAATGTAGTCACATAAACTAAACTGTTTTGAATTGCACAATGGCTCGATGAACATTTGAAAGATTAATATTTTAAATTTTATTCAGGTTAAAATTTTGGGTGGCATTGGAACAGCTACTCATGTAACAGTTTTGCTGTTACTTAATATTTCTATTTTCATCAATAAATAATAATAATCCTTGCATTTGATATAGTGCCTTACAGCACTGTCATAATGTCTCAAAGCGCTTCCCAAGATATACTGTAAAGTGGATTGACTATATTTTTAGAGTGAACACGACAGTCAAGCACATTTGTGCACAACAATGTCCCACACTCAGCTATGGAGTGAGTGACAATTGTATTTCTACTGCAGTTGCAAATAACCAGTTCTACCGGTCTCAACTTGACAGGTTACTGTAATGACCCCATTTGACGTTCCACACTGAGCGCTGGCCGGTGGGTAGAACTCGGGACTACAAAAATAACTCGGATTTAACAAGGGGGGGAAAAAAAAATCTAGCTGATCCTAATTGGACCAGACTGCAGCAAGTGGACGACTTTGAAATCTGGTCGGTCTGCTTTGCCACTATTCCTCTGAGGCCATTGCTTCCTGTTGCTCTATGCTATGTGAATTCAGGTGGTCCGTAACATTTGAAGCATAAGCAACAACTTCTAGGGAGCTGTGGCAGATTGGCACAGCACTTTAGACCTTTATGCAATTAAATATTGTTGCATCTTGCACTTCATATTTTTCAACCTGAGAAATCGATCACTGGAAAATCAATTCTTGTTCAAACTGTACTGATAATTCCCTCAGTTTCTTGTGCACCAAATGAGATGGGAACCAGGCTCGGGAAAGGAATCTTGTTAAGTGTTGCTCAAAGTCTTCTATGTACACTATAATCCAATATTAGTTTCTGAAATTAAATATTCTGTGGTGTATGTCCTTAATTATCTGTAATGTGATGTAATGAGAACTTACATATTTAGGATGACATTCCCAATACAGGGATGGGATTGTGCTGCGTTGTTGGAGGTGCCATCTTTAAGATGAGATGCTAACTAAGGTCCTGTCTCCCCACCAAATTGTGTGTACTTGTATACAATTTCTAATTAACAGATATCGAAATGATGCAAACTGTTGCAATATTTCTTTTTTTTAACCTTAGACCATCATGGACCAGTTCAATCCCAGCCTGAGAAACTTCATCGCTATGGGGAAAACGTACGAGAAAGCACTCAACAGTAAGTAATTCACTTTACCCTGTATAACACAGTTTTCTTTAATTCATTTTATTGATTTCTTCACGTCTTACGTCCATTTTATTTCTTTTGTTGCTTGTCATAATTGTCTGCTCATCTCCATGCATTCTCCTTCAGCTGGGTGAGTGGCCCAATTGCTGACTCCTCCACAACTTCAGATGCTTGTGTTGCTTTATTGTTCAGCGGGATCGAGGATGTGCTAGCTGTGGGGCGAGACAGATAAAAATATCAGTACTGCCCCCCCCCCCCACCCCACAAACTGAGACAATCCATTTTTAGGAGGTTTCTTGCCGAGCAGTCCCAATAAGAACTGCAGAAACTGGCTGCACATGTGGTGACTGCTCTAAGGGTCAGCTAGCCATGGGATTTTAAACTGTTGACCACTATGGGTTTAAGCGACTGTCTTAACTACTATTTAGTGCTACTGGGATGCTCATACTGAAATCTTGTTCATTATTTGGGAGCTTGCCAAGCAAGGATTTATATAAAAACAATTGCATTCACAATGGGAACTCAGGCACTACATTAGAAACAAAAAAAATACTATATTTAGGTTATTTTAATAACACAGACATTTCTGCTGCCTGAAGTATAGCTTTGATATGCTGTTGATGTTACCACAGCAACATGCCAAAGGCAAAGGGGTTCTGTTTCTAGCTCATTTCAGTGAGTAGAGATTCCTAAGCACTTATTTCTAGCAGCTTGTAGTGTAGAGGCTTTGTCAATGTGGGTTTGGGAAAGCCTGTATAGAAAGGAATGAGGGAAACCATGTGTTTCAATTGGAGGCTGTTGGTTAGAGGTAGTGCTGAGTTTAGTAAATACCAAGCGAGTTTTCTTTTATCAGTAAGTAGGATTTCTTTTTCTTTGGATCTTGTGTCTTGGATGTTGGGGTGGGTCTGTCTTCACATGTGGATTTGTACGATGGCTATCTGTGTGTCGTCACTCTTAACAAAAGTGGCCGCTGAATATCTTGTGACCCGTTTGTTTGTGTCAATGTTTCACCTTGTTTTAAAAGTGTTGCAAAGCAAGTGGTAACAGAAATGGGGATGAAAGGATAAATTTGTAGTTTTGTTTTGAACATTTTGTGTCCATTTTCAGTAAGCATGAGATTAGTTGGAAGTAGTCGTTGAAAGATGAGGGTCACTTGTTAAATATACTTTGCCAGCCTTTGCTCAAGTGCATTACATTACTGCTCAGATTTATATTGATTCTCTTTTTGTTCAGGAAGATCACAGAAACACTCTAGAGAACGGAACTAAAGCAGTAAAAGAAGAGGTCACAGGTTCAGAGTTATGAAGGGCAATTTTAGGACAGACACCAGGATGTGTTTCTTTACTGAAATGAAAGGGTTACTGGGAAGGGTGGTAAAGGTTATGAAAGGGTTACTGGAAAGGGTGGTAGATGTTAACATGTGAAGATGGTCTGGCTAGGTATTGTAGGAAATTGAGAACAAATGGGAATTGTTCATCTATCTGTCTCTTGTGATTTTGTTTGTCAAGGCTATGACTAAAATTATTATAAATTTCAGAAGCTAGTGGTAAAAGGGAGAAACAATGAGTCAAAAGACACTCTACGATAATTTAGGCTTCTGTAGTAATTTGTTTTAAGCAAATATTGTTCGGGAAATGTAAAAAGCCACAAACTTGCAAGTCCTGTTCCTGATCTTGTCATGCTATGCAAAATACTTAAGAAAAACGTCCTTGGACTCATGTTACCATGAAAACAGCTTTATTGGAAGGTGCCCTTATTTGCTATTGAAATAAATGAATGTTTTCTAATGCTGGTGCTTATGAATATCAGCACCAGCATTTGGAGGGTATAGACTGGAACATTCCAAACAGTAAGAGTTCCTTTGTTACCAAAATGACCTTTTATTATGTTTTTGTACTTGGTGGACCTCATTATAAAGCCCATTTGGATCCAATGAGGCCCAGTAATGTACAAAGAACATAAGGTTAATTGTGTGTCAACATCGCTAACAAATCTGATCTCGGGCAGCCTTCATATATTTTAAAATCTAGCCAAGCTTAACAATAAGCTCTCTACTGTCTAAGGAATTGCCAGAAGATTGGAGAATGCTTCCCACTAAACAATGCCACAGGCACATCCTACAAACACTCTCCTGGAGCGTCACACTTGTTTTTAAAATGACTCGCGTCAAAATCTTTTATTTTACCCCATTCTAATGAATTGACACAGCAGACCCTGATATTTAAGGCTCTTACTAAATCCAGGAATTTGATTAAGTTTTCTCATCATTATGATTTGTTTTTATTTTGAATTGCAAATTATTCTCATTTTTTTTCTCAAACCTGCTGGAATATTACCACAGGCCACATTGCAGAGGGAACTTGAATCAAAAAAGCTAGCTCAGGTGAGAGCAATGTACTATGCAGTGATTGCACATGCAGAGACTGGATTTTATTAGTCCCTCCGCCTCATTCCATGTTCAAGCTGCTGAAATATGCATTTTTAAACATGAATGTGCCAAAGGGTGAATTCTAGGGTTCTGTGCTATGGTATGGCCCTTTCTGGCAAAACTCAGCTGATAATTGAAAGCCAATCAGAGGAAATGTAAAGTCTTGTTAGCATTTTGCTCATCAGCCATCATTAAATTCAAGCCCTACATTTTTACCTTTTTAAAATGTAATGAGTATTTGTTATGTTGCATGCATAGTAGTGCTTTATAACTAGACAAATTCTGCAGAGGTGAAGTGGTTTGAACTTGGGTTAGAAAGAAACTGAAACAGTTCTTGGGTATTTGGTGAAAACATTTGGACATGATGTCCTGGTAGCGTAGTGGTAAGACTGGTCACTGGCTCTGGTCAGGTTCAAGGGCCTCACCTGTAACCTGCTTCAACAGTTCTCCATGTGGCTACTCAGCCAAAGGCGTTGCATAAATCCACCACTTCCCTCATGAAATGGCTAGGCAAATCTAGTCTATTTCACCCAGAAATGTCTTGGATGCCAATTGCAGAGTGGTTACATCCATGGTCCTGGTATCACAACCTAATCTCCTCACTGAAGGATGATGTATGGAAATGAGCAAACTGTAGGTGAAAATGTACACTGCAATATGAAATCTAATCCTGTAAGTGTGGAAGTCTCTTGTTGGTTCAGTGACAATGTGTGTAATTGGATATATTAATGTTGTCACATGGTATTTGTGACTGACTGATTCAGTGAAGTTAATGATACTTTATTTTTTTTTAAGTTATGGAGCTGTGGAGCCCAGTTTATTTCTGCAAATCTGAGTTAACAGATTCAAAATCAAAATCTGTTGAATTTTCACAGTATTCTGGTAATGCTTAGGTTTAACATGACTAAACCATAGGGCTGTGCTTTTTCTTGAGCCAATAACACTTGTAGCCCTGAGACTGATATACAAAGCTATTATGAGTAATAGTCCTTTGGCAGAATCCTTTGAGCTCTGGGTGTGGAAGTGAATGGGGTTTCTGTCCTTTTTCATCCCTCAATAAGAATTTGCATGACCGATCTATTTCTATTCAATATAAACATTGTTTCCTTTGTCTTGGTCTTTCTCAACTATATCTAACCCCTTAATTTTGAAATAAAAATCACTGTAATATCTGGTGCACAGTGGAATGTCGATCTGGAATAAAACTGTGGTCCAGACTATAAACGCGAATGTTGCAAGATTCTTTTCGAAGGCTTCAAAACACAGCATGTGAAGGTCAACAAAAGGGATACTGCTTTTACAACATTAACTGTTGAATGTGCAACTCTTTAAGCATTTCTCTGAATACTTTTGGTGCACAGGTCATTCATTATTGACCTTGGATGCATCACAGCTGTTTGCATTTTACTGACGCCCTCTATAATAAATTGGTGACGGTCACAGTGGTACTGTTGATGTGCTGGTAACCAACCTTAACCTGATTTAACTGTTACTGGATTGGTGTGTAGATGTACATGAATTTTTTTTAAAAATTGCATTAGCCCACACTGGGACTGTATATTTTGGTGCTGGTCACAATTTGACAATCTATTAGCTCTCCTTTGATGTCCTATACAGTCTGTGTTTAGAATTGTGATGTTTTACTTCAAAGGTTGTTGGATGGACTTGTTGAATGAGAGCATTTTCTTTTTGAGGTGAAAAAGGTTACAGTTTTAAAACACAAAATTAGTGGTTACATGGTTTTAAGTGAACCGTAGAAGTGAGATATTTTATAAAGTACTCCAGCATTTTAAGCCTCCGGATCTACATACACAGTTTCTGAAATCTCAATATTCCAGGTGTGACCTTTGCAGCAAAAGGCTATTTTGAGGCACTAGTGAAAATGGGTGAACTAGCCAACGACAGCCAAGCTTCCAAGGAGATGGGTAAGTAACAAATTATAAAGTGACTCCAATAAGAATGAGCTACAAGCCTGTACTTGGCTGTACAGGTGAAGAAAGTGTAAAGCATCAAGAAACTTATTTGTGTTCACAAGCTAACTTGTTTCCTTGTTGCTGTCACTGCTGCGATGCACATAAAACTACCTGGGTTCTCCAATTGTGTTTTAAAATGTGTGTTGATTGAAAGACGGGGCTGTATTTGTAAATATTTTAACTCTTCCATTAATTAGAAATGATAATATGTTCCATATCACCTTAATTATTCCTGTATAGAGTAGAATATTTGTGGCATGACAGAATATTATTCATCTTTTTAGCTTGCAGATCCAAAGCAACCTACAAATCTTAGAAAGTTTGAAATTTTTCTGGGGGTAGGAGTTCAGCATCAAGTTTTTGTTTAATAAGGATTCACCAATAAGCGTGTGCTAGTGTCCAGTGACACAGGGTAAATACTAATAACCTAAACCTTCAATCCTTTGACTCAAGTGACATCTGCCTGTGAATGTCACTTGAGTCGAAGGATTGAATTGTAATCTGATGCCTCTTCCAAGCATCCTACGTATTGTGTATGTATTGGCTGCAAATTATTTCTCCAAATTTACATTGTCTATTGTAAAAGCTGGTCTTTCAATGTGGCTGACACTATACATCCTCACAAAGCCACTGCCTGGCTTGTTGGCAATAGCACAACAAGGAGCTGATGGCTATAAAGTAAATAAGAACATGGAGTGAAAGTTACCACAGTAATTATAAATAGTTATTCAGTGACAATTATGAAGTTCCAATCATCTTGTTCAAGGTAACTTCTCAAAATTCATTTTGCTGTTGTGTTTATATAATGTTGTCTGATCCTTTCATAAGTTCTGGTTGTTGCTCCCTGCTATTGATTATTTGCTGTGTAAAGTAATGGGAGGAGGTGGGGCAAATAACTATCACACACCATATGGTGGTTGTATTCTTCAGGTGAAGTGATTTCTTTCCCCATGAGTACTCTTTGAACGAAGCCTAAGTCAAAACCTCCTCCTCCTTCCCACCCCCATTGAACAATTTAGCTTTACTTCTGCACTTTGCTCACATTAAAATCATTTATTTGAATTACAAAACTTTGTTTTTTCAAGTGTATTTGACATGTCCTGCATTCGGGGGTAGTTGTCAATGCCATAGTTTGTTCTGGATGGAATGTTTATTATATAGCTGTAGTTCACTAAAACAACAAGCTGTGCTTCACCTGTGAACAAAGATGCCTGGAAGCCAGTTATTAAGTCAGGCTGTTTAAACTTGAAATATTTGAATTGTTGTAACTACTACATTGAACACAAGAGAATCTGACGTGAATATTTAACCTAGTGTGTGAAATCCACCAGTAAGATTGGGGATGAATTGTACCAGAACAAGGGCCAATATTGTTTCCTCTCTGTTAAAGTTGGAAATGTAATTTTTCCCCTATGATCCAATCAGACAATTCTTCAACAAATTTTCTCTCTTGAAGATTTGCCCTTTTTTCTCTTCTGTGGGTTGGGTTGGAGTACCGTATGACTCAATGGATGATGGTTGCATTCTCGCACAAGAAGCTTTTATTCGTGTTATCCTTAATGGTGTGCTTTGACGGGTTGTTCAATGGTAGGAAGTAACTGATTGAGTTTGATCCTCAAAGTCCCAACTTGAAAGTTCTTGAGGTTAACTGGAGTGTCCTAATTCCATTCTGCGCTGAGATCAGCCAACTCAGCTTCCCAGTTTGTCTGGATGAACTAGCTCAGACTTTGGAGAAACCTTGGGAAAGTTTCCTTACTCCACACGCCTGATAATAATCCCTCAAGAAAAAAAATAATAATTCGGTCACTTCAATCCACGACTGTTTGTGGGACACTGCTGTGCGAAATTGGCTGCCGCGTTTCGCTACACAAAATGCAGTCAGTTCACTTTACAGTATATTCTGTGAAGCGCTTTGAGACGTCTAGAAGGCGTGAAAAGCACTATATCAAATGCAAGGATTATTATTATTACTACTGACTTAAAAGTTTGGTGAGGCTCGTCTTTGCTCCATAGTCAGCATCCACTTTTTTTCATTTCAGGCCTTGGGGGAAGGAACTGTCAGCAGGCAACTTGAATAGGAAATTGTATTTTAATCCAATTCTGGCTTCATTTGATGGCCACACCTAATAATTAGATAACAATCCAAGATCCGGATCTCAACATATTCAGTTTCTTAACCTTTGCCAAATCCAGGAACATTTGAGACTAATTATGATGGTTTGGCTAAGATCTGCTAGCTCTGCAAGAGTTAAACTTGTAACAACCTTTTTAAGGTTCCGATAGTTTTCTCCTTTGAAATGGAGGTTTATGTGCTTTTCAATCTTTTGCTTGAATAATGATCGATCATCAGAAGGCTTGGGTCTCTAATTTCTCTTCCTTTTTATTTTAAGTAATCCTTAATTAGTTGACTTGCTCCTATGGGAGATATTTCCAGGAGTTTCCTGTACACAAATGTGTTTTGATGCTCCCTGAAGTATATATTAAAAGTATACTGTATGGGCAGCTGATTTGCCTGCCCAATAGCATGTTATCAGTGCTGAGGTTGTTGTGGAACCTTGTGTTCCTGTTTCTTTCCAGTACTTCTCTTTTAAAAGAGAGAATGATGATCTTGTGTGAATGAGGTTAGCATGAGAGAGACCCACGACTAGCTCTCCTCACAGCTGCTGTTTGTTTTTATTATGTGCACAAAGCACCAGCACTGAATTGCATTTATAGCTTGCTAATACAATACAGCGATGCTGGTGGATCAAGCATCAGTTTGCTCATTTAACAATAAAATCCTCCAAAGCGCTTCGAGACGTCCCCGAATGCAAGATGGTAGTTTTTCTGCCTAAACATTGCAGTTAGCAGATAGAAAATTTAAGTTGGCTTTTTTCAGATATGGTTTTTGTTGGTCACCAGTGATGAGATTTTATTTTGTTTTTACATTCTCAGTATTCAGCTAGATTTCCTTCAGTATTACTGGATAAATGCCATTTATAAATTGAGGACAGTCTATCAGTTAACAAACAGCCAGACTGTTAGCGTGCTGATTGTGTTCATATTTATAGCCATAGTTCCAGCAATGTAAAGCAGGTGTATGTAGTGTTTTGTATTCAATTAGAGCTGTTGTCAACAATACAGCAGGTAGCCTTGTATGTGCTTGATTTCAAAAACAATTCAGATGATCCTATCTTATAAATTGTAACTAAAACTGGTAGCTTCCCTGTATTTTGACAATCTAGATGGATCCTTTCATTTTAATACAAAAGTATTTGAGAAATGAAGGTTTTAATAGAAGTTTGAATGCCATTGTGCATTGTTTTGGCATCAGAGTTGGACTATACAATTAGAACAGACAAATGTTGGGGTGTTGACAGCATATACAGTATGGTTTGCTATTGTTAAAATATTGGCAGTGTTAACATTTGCTCATTGTGTTTTGCCTTAAAAGGGCATTGTACTGATGTAAACAAACCACCCACTTGGCAGGATCCAACGTGGCAATCAGGACTTCTTTTTTTCCAATAGCTTTACATTGTTAGAACATGAGGTATTCATGTTAAATTCTATCGTATAAGAAAAGAACTTTTAAATTAGCATTATTACTCAATAAAATGGAAGTAATGTTGTATGTCCTCTTCTGTTGGTTATATCTAAGGCCTTTCTAAAGTGTTGTGTTGATTGTTTAATGTTCAATTTTCAGTGAATTAGCTGAAGCTATATCTGGCTCGCAGTATCTTGAGTTAAGGAGGGTGGAATTTTAAAAGATTCTGCTATCACTCTCCAGCCACTTGAGTTGCTTACAGTTACTGTACATTCTAATGTGCTGACCAGCATAAGCAAAGTATTTCAAATTTGGAAGAAATCGATGAGGAGTTTTCAGATTTAAGATTTGGAGTCTGAAAAACAAGCTTTTTTTTTAATAATTCAAAAGTATTCATATCGTTCTCACTTGGAGTGGTGACTGTAGAGACTAGCCCAAAAACGAGCTTTATTGTAGGTATAGGGCTTGAAGTGAGAGAGCATCAGAATATGCAGCTGTGCTTCTACTACCACACTTGTTACTTATTTGTGCTTGATGTATTGTCCCTGGTGGCTTACTTCCCCACAGATGTCCACATACAATACCAGCGGAAAATACTACATTCTGTTTTATAAAACATTCAAGCTTGGAACCAAAGTGAGGTTTCTGAATGGTCTCCCCAGGCCTATTGTTCGTTGCCCATAAAACTTGTGTTTGGGGATTGTATTGGAAGCTAATGAAGGGAAGCCCTTTCTTGTGGTATTTCTAGCTGCATTGGAGCAGGATACATGTAATACACTAGTCACAGTAACAGCTGCTACTAACAGCTTTATAGGCCTTGATTGGGTAGCACACAGCAAAGCAAATACTTTGATTGGATTTGCTGTCAGTCGCTACCTTTTATGCTGTCGAGAATCTAACTATGTCAAAAGCAGCTGGTTCCTGGGAGGGAAGCCTTGGCGTATGCTTGAAACAGGATTGTTGAGAAACTCATTCTTCTGGTGTTTTAAAATGATTCACGATCCCCAGCAAAGACAATCTCTGATCTTTCCAATGGTTACATCGTTTCTCAAATTTCGATTAAGCCTTTTATCAAACTTGAGCAGCATTCGTATTTTTTTAAAAAAAAATGTTGCAGACACTTGAGCAACATGCAATTCTGGTTGCCATTATTTCTGCGGTTGGGGAAATAAAATTCTATGGTTTCTACACATAATGGTCATTTGCATGTTGACTTCATGTTTTTGTGCTGAGCTCAGTTTTTGAGGTGCCACCCCACCCCACTCCCCCCATGCAGGTTAAATGGGAGAATACAGGACTCCACTTTACATGCTACAGAAACCAAAGTGGCAATCTGCCTCTTCACATTTTCAAATTGATGTCTACTAGAAATCAGACTTGCTCCAAGAGGATCCCCTTAGCTGATGTTCAAGAACACATTTTGTTT